TTCTTGGGGCCAATTTCTCTCTCAAGGTTTTGTTTCCCGTATCAATATTACAACAATTTTGCTGGATGCCGACATAGGAAACCCGTTGGTATGTACATACTGTTTCGATATCTTTTTGTCTCGTTATAAAGTGAATATTAGTTTATTAGGAAATATGATATTGTCTAATAATAGTTAAGTTGTTTTGCTTTGCTTTCTCAGACTGGTACCGTCGTACCTTCTGATATTTGATATTTCAACCGTCAAGCAACAATTCCTATATGCATTAACTTAATGCTGATATCCTGCTTCCCCAATCCAGTTAGCAGTCCCGAAACCAATAAAATTGCTACATTCAAGTTTTCTATTAAGCTGCCCAGAACTATAGGTACGCCTTATTATCTTACTGATGTTAGTGCTGCCCCTTATAAGTGAATAAAATATGAAAGGAAGGTTTTGGTAATTTAATAAGATCCTTGTGTTACAATATAATGTCTCCGAGAAAGTAAAGTAATATCAAAAAGCTATTCGGATTTAATCCATAGCTAAAATATTAGAATGCTATAAAATAATGCTATATATTAGCATTAATAAGTTTATAATGGATACTAAAGTTTGAAAATAATTAGAGCAAGTAATTTAAATTATCCAAAGTGCTTATTAAACATAAAAATAAAATAAAATTATATTAACAATTTATATTATAATATATTTAAAAACAGTAGCCAAATATTCTTGGAATTCCTCGATGACTAACCTGGTGGATATTTAAATAAATTTTAAGTTCTAAAATGTACCTGCTCTAAAATTTGAAAATCTACGACTAATACAACTACTGGCAACATCGCAGGAGCTTAGTTGTGTACGCTAAAAGCTGTATACGGATCCCAAAAATGTTTTATCCAGTTACGGAGTCCACTTGATCCGACGTGTTGGTCGGAGTCTACATAAAGCGCTACTCAGATAATAATATACACGGCGTATATTCTCCTGGAGTTAGTATAATACCGTTTTAGTACGGAGCCCACATTAACCGCTAGAAGTATATATATATATATATATATATATATATATATATATATATATATATAGAGAGAGAGAGAGAGAGAGACTCGTTTCAACTCTGGTCTTTTCCATATTTTACTATGCATGCGAGACATGGACAGTCAAAGAATCAGATCGACGACGTATAGACGCCTTTGAAATGTGGACATGGAGACGCCTGCTTCGAATTCCATGGACGGCTCGCCGTACAAATATCTCGGTTCTGGATGAAATTAAACCGGATCAACGTCTCTCCAGTACCGTTTACTCTAGAATTTTAAAGTTCTTTGGCCATATCCATCGAAGTGATCACAAAATGGAGCGGTTGGTGGTCCAAGGAAGGCCTCAGACTCAACGTCAACGCGGAAGATCTCCACAGCGATGGGCGGACATTACTAAAAAGCTTCTCAATAAACAGTATACTGAGGCAATACATATAACTGATGACCGCGAACAGTGGAGAAATATTATCAATCAAACTGTCCGAGCTGCTGAAGCCCAATTATGAACCACAACACATCTACTAAGATGTTAATGACTGTGATGATGATGATATATATATATATATATATATATATATATATATATATATATATATATATATATATATATATATATATATATATATATTGGTTATTAGTTCCCCGTATATCTGTGGTCAATTCTGCTGTTAATCAAAGAACTTTTCATTGCCCAATGTTCGACACTATCGAAAGCCTTTTCGAAATCTATGAACGCCATATATACAGGAATGTGGTATCCCTTTCTAAAACCAGCTTGTTCTTTCGACTGGTATCCATCGAATTTTGTCGTCAATCTATTGGTTAAAATTTTTGTTAGGAGTTTATACATTACATTGAGGAGTGTTATAGGACGGTAGTTTTTTATATCTGCTTTATCCCCTTTCTTGTGTAGGATAATGGTTACTGATTCCTTCCAGTTGTTTGGGATTCTCTTCCTATTGAGAGTGTAGCACTTTTAAATTCTTTTGTATGTATTGAAATCACGCGGTATGTGTTAATACCGAACAAGTATTTTCAATCCATTTGCATCGCTGGAGTTGATAATAGACACATTTTAAAGTTTGTTTAATATCAAAGGTTTGTGTAATATCAAAATTTTCTACCTTATTATACGGAGTAGAGGCCTGGACACTTTTCGAAGCTTCCTTAAGAAAACTCGAGGTATTCGAGATGTGGTGTTACAGACGCATCTTAAGAATTTCATGGGTGGATCGTGTGACTAATGTTGAGGTCCTACGTAGAATAGGCAAGGAATGCGAGATTATTAACACCATCAAAGAGCGCAAACTAGAATATCTTGGCCATGTTATGAGGAATGAGCAGAGATATGGCTTGTTGCAACTCATTCTTCAGGGCAAGGTATTTGGAAAGAGAGGATCATGGAGAAGAAGAATATCTTGGCTTCAAAAACTGAGAAAGTGGTTTAATACATCGACAACCGGACTATTCAGAATAGCAGCAAGCAAAGTTAGGATAGCCATGTTGAAGAAGAAGAAGAATATCAAAGGTGTGTATTTCCTTGGTATTCTTTAATCGAGAACCACTTTAGGATATTTTGCGTTGTTTTTATTTTTTGTCTATACCGAGTTGGCTGAATGAATTTTAAAGAGAATTACATCTCTCTTGCTGGAGCCACTGTCAAAGGCAGTTGGTTTCTTCTTCTTCTTTAAGTTCCGTCTTCTATCGAAGGTTGGAAATCATCATGGCTATGCTGACTCTGTTGAGATATTCTTCATCTTCCCACATTTCGCTTTCCTCGAATTCTGACCTGAATAATAAGTTATATACTTTTAATACTTAATTTTAGGCTAATTTTCAGTTGGTTTCAGGTTAGTCTAAATTGTTCGTCAAATTTGTAATGTTTTTCGTTTTTCGTCTTATGTTTTAGAAATATGTAGTTTGGTGAGCAGTTAATAGTGCAGTTATTAAGGTTTAGAAGAGAGGTCATGGAGAGCAGATGGCAGCATGTGTAGTTTAAGTAAACCGGCAAATTTGTTATAAAAAGTGATTTATACTCAATGTAATGTGTCATTACTATGTCCTATCAGTTTACAAATTTTAGAAGTTGGAGATATTATAAAACTTTTGTTAATGGACGACAATTTGTAGCAGAAATAAATTATTACAAATAAAGAAATATCTTTTTAAATGAAACTATGCATAGAAGTTAACCTTTAAAAAAACAAAAACAAAGTCTCAAATATGATTAGATATTTACCAGATGTCAAAAATAGTGCTAGCTGTCATATGTCATTCTTAAAACCTAAATTAAATTCTTAAATTTTAAAGCTGAGAACAAAAAAAATGACAGCCAAGCCACACCCTAAGATTTACAATTATTATTAGAAAATGTTTATCTTTAAAAATCAACACAAAAAAGTTATCTGTATTTCACTAAAATTTCTTTACTTTAAATTTCTGAGGTTGGAACTGGACCTACACTTTCTGTCACACGAACAAATTCATCTCGAAACTGTGAAAAAGTATTTTGAAACGGCTTCTTGAGACAAATTGTAACTTTTAACACCTTTAACTGTTACTACACATTTAAATTAACACTGCTACATATTTTCCATGAAAAGGAAAAAAAACACAAAACATTTCAAATTTGACGTAAAATTTGGACCAACACTGAAGCCATCTGCCCCTGACAATGGCTTAGCGAGAGTGATGTAGGGTAAAGTGTGCAAATCGCGGTCACCTAAGAAGAAAAGTTAATATAAAAAAAAGTAAAACTCTGTGAATCAAATTTAAGCCGTCAATCCGTAATTTGGGGTTTTAACTTATTGCAAGATACATTTAATTTCAAAAATATAAAATTTTTGTCTTTGACAGAGACAAAACATAAAAAAGTATCTTTAACCGGTATTGTCACCATACATGGACAATACCGGTCATGAGTGTGAGTAATGCCAGTCAATTTGTTTGTGTTATTATTAAAATAAAAATCAATATCTATTTAACATTTTTTTGTTATAAAACCATTAACGAATGTGGCTTAATGGGTCATAATTCAAGTAAATCAGTAAGAAACGTGAAAAAATATTTTTTATTACAAAACAAACAAAAAATAACAAAAATATGTGTTTTAATGTAAAAATAGTTGACAGTCATCGCAGGTATAACTCTCTGCAGAATCCCATCCACTGCACTCTGAATAAGCCCATCGTGAGCAAACGGTAAATATATACCACAATTCATTGTTTTTGCCAAACTCTCTGTGAACCAGGCATCTATCTTCGTATGCATCGTCACTGTTATCACATGATATATTAATATCCGATTCCAAAGAACTAGAATCAAACACCTTTTTCTTGTAATGCCGATTTTTATTTTTTATTCTTTCTTGCAATGTCGAAAAATGGATGGATTAATCCCTAAGGATTAATAGTATAGGATATAAATTATAGCATGGGGGTAATACCGGTCAACTGACCGGCATTGCCTCCTGTTGGCATTTTTTTTCTTAGAACTTTTTACTCGTAAACATGTATTAAAATATTGATCTTTAAAAAAGGAATAGGCAGCTAACGTCATTATAATCAATTGTAACCAATTTTAAGATCTACAAGTGAATAAAAATGAATTAACACCTTATATTACTCAGCATAAAAATAAGATCGAAAACACTGAAAACAGGTTAATAATATTTCTATGACAATGGTTTGCGCCAACTCAACGCTCGTCAGCAATCTGAATACAGAGTAGTGTAGCGACACGTTGGTAGTTATAGGAGGTTGCCAGATTGAATAGATTTTCCACAATCGGGATGACCGCCATTACCCACTGACCAGTATTTGCACAATTTACCCTAATCATCTTTAAAATTCATTCATTCAACAAAACACTTAAACAGGAACGGAAACGAATAATATCCTAAAGCGGCATCTAAAAAAAAGCGGCTAAAAAATCCAGTATTCATTTCTACTGTTTTTTTTTTTATATTTATTATTTACATTTACATATTATTTTGTTTTTACAAATGCATCCATAATTTTCGATAAAACCACTGGACACCCACATGAATCGTCGGATGATGTAGAAGACAGGTCATCTTGAGCGGAAAGACCTTTTCTTGGTGGTGCTGCTGGAGCGGCTCTTAAAAGGATTGCCGATATGGTTTCGTTAACAACCCTAAAAAAATGGTATTCTTTTGAAATGTAAAAATGGTAGAATAGGATATCTTACATATAATGATAATGGTAAAATATTTATTTTTAAGGCAAAACAAAGAATCAAAAGTACTATGCGTAGCATGTAATAGGCTCCACAGAATTGGCATTCCTTTGTAATAAACTCTTTGACTACTTTATTGACATTGACATTATATTCAGTTGTTGAATTTTACTTGAAACATTCCTGAAATCAGCTAAATGATTAAGGTTTAGCTAGTGCCAAGGATGTCTTCATGTGCTACAAAATAGGTTTTTGAATATCATGCTAGTGTTTAATTAATATTTAACTGGGAATAAGCCACAATTAAAGATAAAAATACGTTTATTGACGTTTCAATTTCCACTTCGGAAATCGTTCTCAAAATACAAACAGTGAATTAAACAAACTTTGTTTTTTATTACATAGTGAAAAATTCTTCCAATAATTTAATTTTATCTGACTCATTTATATTGACAATTCAGACATACATTACGCATTTTAAAGTAGACGACTTTAAAATGATATTGCCAATATTGTTAAGTTGCGCTCCTGGGACGACTTTACTTATAAGATAGTTCATTCGATTACATGAAATCAATTTTAACTTGAGAATATCCGTCAGAAAAAAATCATAGCATGTAATTTGTCTTTAAAAAGACAAACACATGACATGATGACAGTAAAATTCTCCTGTTAGTGATTCCATAGTAAATTATGAGGGAAAAACCAGGAAAAAACCTCATAATACTATCCCGATATGATAAGTATTTGTTCGTGCATTTAGTTTACCTTCAATAAACACCAAAATTCTGATTTTATATGTTTCGTTATTTAAAAAACATAAATGATGTATCCTCTATATGTTACTGACGTACTAATACTGGTATTTTCTTATTTATAACTTTCTCTTTCAATATTGGTAACCAGATCCTACTACATTCTGCCGAGGAATTTGCGACACAATTGGCCTCATTTAGCATAATTAGAGCCGCTTCTTTGATTTTTCTTTTTTTACCATCATTTTTTTACAACATTCAAAGCAACAAACACGTTGAGATCTATTTTGTCCAAAACCAAACCTAACAATGAACAAGAAAGGACAAAGAATTGCATTTATAAAATACCTTGTGAATGCGATCAGTTTTATTTAGGTGAAACATCAAGGCCATTAAATGTTAGAATAAGTGAACATCAATCTTATATTAAAAATAAAGAATTTAATAGATCTCAAATATGTAAACACGCATGGGATAATGAACATAGGGTTCAATGGAATAATTCAAATGTAGTCCTAAAAGAGACGGATGGTAAAAAAAGAAAAATCAATGCATAATGTATGTCTGAATTGTCAATATAAATGAGTCAGATAAAATTAAATTATTAGAAGAATTTTTCACTATGTAACAAAAAACAAAGTTTGTTTAATTTAGAACGATTTCCGAAGTGGAAATTGAAACGTCAATAAACGTATTTTTATGTTTAATTGTGGCTTATTCGCAGTTAAATAGTAATTAATTTAAAATTCCACAAGAAAATAGCTTCAGAACAATAATGCTAGTGTTTATTTATGGTTATGTTTTCGTTTAATGTTCATTTTAATTTATATACTTTCTAGTTAATTCTTTGAGATGTCTGTTTGTGTGTGTCAGAGTTTGTGACGTAACAGAGGCATATTCTATTCGGTTTAAATGGTTTTTTAAAAGCAAAATAATATTTTTACCTTTCATTTAAATCACCATTTACAATACTAGCAGTTCCACCACAGTATTTTCTCAGAGCCCCATAATTTTGACAATAGTAATTAATTTCCGCATTGATAAGATTTGAATCAAATTTTGGATGATTCGCAAACTCCTTATCGTTTTCATGGTCTGAGGAGTCTTTTTTGTTCACTGTTTGGCCAGTTGCAGTATTTATCTTTCGATGACGAAGTCTTTCTTTGCATACATTTAGGTCGCACTCGAGGAATATTACTCTACAAAAACATCGATAAATTGATAGAAAAAGATTGATAATGCTAAAATACCTGTTGGGAGGTGTATCCAACGAATCTAAGTACTTAAAATCGGCAACAGTATAAGGATATCCAGTGAGAACCCATCCTTGTCCTAAACAATCGCATTGCATAATTCTTTTGTTAACAACTTGGCAAAGAAGTTCGGCATGAAAACAAACTTCGTTGTTACATTGGCGGAGCTGTTGACCCAATTCGGTTGGCGATATCCAGGCCTGGCAAAGAAGATACTCGAAGTCAATGTTGACCAAGTTTAGGTTATAAGCAAGCAGCTCTGCTTGAGTTTTTCTGCCAGATCCTGTAACATATTTTACATTTGGAAGCTCATGAAAGATAAGTAGAGAAGATATGTAAAGACATATTGTTGTATAAAAAATAATAAGCAATCTACAAAGGGCTCTTTCTTAAGACATAGTTTATAGTATATGAGCCCCTTACAATATCATTTGGCCCAACGTTAGATTGATAAGAGAATTAAATTTTAGAGAACAAAAATAAATTTTAGAAGAAGGAGAAGAAGAAGAAGAAGAAGAACATATTTGAATTTGTTAATTATAAAAAATATCTTTTATTATATCCTTTTATATATTCCTTTATTTTTAATGACATCCACAATTCTTCTACGCATAGTTTTTACCAAGTTCTGACAAAATTCTAATGTAAATGAATAAAATATTTTTTGCAATTTTTCTTTCAATTCGTTGACGGATCTGGGTGGATGTTTTCTCAAAGTTTTTTTCATTTCGTACCACAAAGTCTCTATTGGGGACAAGTCGGCACTGTTAGAAACCCACTCCAGGAGTGGTATGCCATGGTGTTCAATCTGTTTTAAACTCTTTTTTGAGGTATGACAATCTGCGCCGTCCTATTGAAAGACACAATCTTCCGCTGATGTTGAACGGTGTTATATAATCGGTAAAAGAGATTCTTCTAAAATATTTAAATATTTGTATTTTGAAAATTAAGGCAAATATCGAGCACAAATTTAATCAAATCTTGCCCAAGTACTTTCGCTTAATATAGCATCATCAGGGGCATTTCGTCAAATTTTGGCTATCCAGCAAGCGTAGAATGTAATACACATAAAAATCGACATAAATTGTACATAACACTACATTAACAAAAGGACAAACAGTTTAAAATTATTAAAATTATTCGGAGACCAGGATCCGGCACGGGAGGTATATCACAAGAAGACTACAGGGCCTCCCGGGTCGTCAACCAGCAAAATCCATGTGAAGTACTAAATAACACTCTTAAAAAAAAATAGAAAAACACCCAAGAGAGTATTAAAAATATGTACATGGAATGTTAGGAGTATGCATGATCCAGGCAAAATGCATAATATAATACAAGAAATGCAAAGATTAAATGTCGACATTCTAGGTATTAGTGAGGCAAGGTGGCCAAATTCTGGCAGTTTTTCGACAACAAATGGCATGGTATATTACTCCGGAAACAGTAGTACTCAACACAGACACAGCCTAGCAGTTTTCGTATCTAAGTCTATGATGCAGTCGGTCATTAATTTTACTCCAGTATCAGATCGGCTCTTATTTCTCTAACTAAAAACAAACACAAGTAAACTAAATATCATACAGATCTATGCACCTACTGCAAAAAAATCCGAGGACGAAATTGAACAATTCTACGAAGAAATCAATCAAGTATTAAAATCGACGAAACCACGAGACATCACCGTAATTCTAGGTGATTTTAACTCAAAAATTGGTAAAGGAAAAAGTGACAAACATGTAGGAGAATATGGTAAAAGAAATGAACGAGGTGACACACTACTTCAATTCTGTCAGGAGAATAACATGATTGTATCTAATACATTCTTCAACTTACCAAAGAGAAGACTTTATACTTGGAAATCACCCTAGGACAATGGCGAAAGAATAATTCGAAACCAGATTGATTTGATACTGATAAACGAACTATTTTTTTTGTTTGTGTTTGTGGATAAACGAACTATACAGAAACTCCTTAAAATCCGTTAAAGCTTACCCAGGCGCAGCTGTCTTTTCAGACCATAACCCTCTAATAGCGCAAATGAGTATTAAACTAAAAAGATTGGAGCAGAAAAGAAGAGAAAATCAGATAGACGTCAGTCATTTATGTAACCTGGAGGTAAAGGAGAAACTGCAAAAATGTATTAATAATAATTTGAATATACTTCATGAAAAAAAAACATCTCAGCCAACGAACAACATATATAAAAAATGGCAAAATATAACAGGTCCTGCGAAGAAAATTCTGACTAAAGAAAAACCAAAAATAAAGCAAAGATGGATGACTGATAAGATCCTTCTTCTCATGAACAATCGGAGAATAATAAAAGGAAAAAACGAACAAAGGTATAAACAAATACAGAAAGAAATCAAAATAGAAATCATAATAGAAAAGAAGATTTTATCAAAGAAAATGTGAAGAAATAGAGCAATTGCAGGCAAACCATGATATTTTTAATGTACATAAAAAAGTGAAAGAACTTACAGGTACACAAAAACGTAAGCAGCCAAATACCTTGTATAATGGCAACGGAAACATAATAACAGAACTAGAAGAACAGTTGGAGACATGGAAAAACTATATTGAAGAACTCTTTGCAGATGATAGACAACAATCTGAGCTAAGTAACATACAAGGAGACGATGGTCCAGAAATAACGGAAGAGGAAGTAATGTACGCACTAAAAAGAATGAAAAATGGTAAAGCCCCAAGTCCAGATGAAATACCAACGGAAATCCTTTAACTAATAAAAAAATACTCGATTCACATTTTAGTTGAACTTTTCAATAACAATTATACATCAGGAAAAATACCACAAGAATGGCTTTTATCCACCTTCGTTATTATACCAAAAAAGAAAAATGCCAAACAATGTAGTGATTACCGTACAATCAGTCTGATAAGCCATGTACTGAAAATATTCCTGAAAATTATACACTCTAGAATACACATAAAACTGGAAATGGACATCAATAATACCCAGTTTGGATTCCGAAATGGACTCAGAACAAGAGAAGCGTTGTTTGCACTGAACGTTATGTCTCAAAGATGTCTTGACATAAATCCAGATGTATTCATGTGTTTCATAGATTACAACAAGGCATTTGATAAAGTGCGGCATGATCAGCTAATCAGACTCCTGACAGAAAATAATTTAGATAAACGAGACATCCGACTAATAGAAAATATGTACTACAATCTGAAAGCAGTAGTGAGAGTAGAGAATAATACCACTGAAGAAATTGAAATAAGGCGAGGTGCGAGACAAGGGAGTATACTGTCACCAACCCTGTTTAATCTCCATTCTGAAGACGTAATGAATAGAACACTCTCTGAGCAATCCGTAGCTATTAAAGTAAATGGTGTTAACAATCGTAAAATAGTTTCGAAACACAATGAGGACACCTTTTTCAACGTCTGTTTTGCTTTGCAATTTTTAGAAAGCACAGATAAAAGCAGAAATCTGAATTGTGTTTCGAAACTATTTTACGATTGTTAAATTAGATGTCGCTAGTGCGTCCGTATTCGAAGCCATGTTATAGTTGCTTCTTAAAAGACAGGAAATATTGATCTTTCACGTTGAGAACACCTTTGAATAACTGTTCTGATGAGACCTATTAGGTCGAAATACGTATCAACAGATACAAAGGCGCTGTTTGCGTGAAATCAAATATTTGCTGTCTTTTTCACCTTTTTTCGGATTTACTCTGTACGAGTACAAGAAACCAATTCGCTAAGGATTTCTGCTTAGTTGAAAAGATGTGTCGTGGAATGCAAATTTTAGATTCCCCACGTCTTTTTTAACACCTTTATCAACGTCTGTTTTGCTTTGCAATTTTTAGAAAGCACAGATAAAAGCAGAAATCTGAATTGTGTTTCGAAACTATTTTACGATTGTTAAATTAGATGTCGCTAGTGCGTCCGTATTCGAAGCCATGTTATAGTTGCTTCTTAAAAGACAGGAAATATTGATCTTTCACGTTGAGAACACCTTTGAATAACTGTTCTGATGAGACCTATTAGGTCGAAATACGTATCAACAGATACAAAGGCGCTGTTTGCGTGAAATCAAATATTTGCTGTCTTTTTCACCTTTTTTCGGATTTACTCTGTACGAGTACAAGAAACCAATTCGCTAAGGATTTCTGCTTAGTTGAAAAGATGTGTCGTGGAATGCAAATTTTAGATTCCCCACGTCTCTTTTAACACCTTTATCAACGTCTGTTTTGCTTTGCAATTTTTAGAAAGCACAGATAAAAGCAGAAATCTGAATTGTGTTTCGAAACTATTTTACGATTGTTAAATTAGATGTCGCTAGTGCGTCCGTATTCGAAGCCATGTTATAGTTGCTTCTTAAAAGACAGGAAATATTGATCTTTCACGTTGAGAACACCTTTGAATAACTGTTCTGATGAGACCTATTAGGTCGAAATACGTATCAACAGATACAAAGGCGCTGTTTGCGTGAAATCAAATATTTGCTGTCTTTTTCACCTTAAATGGTGTTAGATTAAACAATCTGAGATTTGCCGACGACACCGTTCTGATTGCAGAAACACTTGAAGAGCTACAGACATTGGTGAGTAAGATAGCAGACTGCAGTGAAGAATATGGACTATCTTTAAACATAAAGAAAACTCAATTTATGGTAATATCGAAATCAACACAAAATGTCCAAAATTTATATTTACACAATGAAATTATCGATCGAGTTAGCAAATACAAATATTTAGGCACTTTTATAAATAAAGACAACAATAGCTCAGCAGAAATCAAAATAAGAATAGAAAAAGCCAGATTCATATTCACTAAAATGAAGAGAGTGTTCTGCGGAAGAGATTTGAGCCTTGAAATGAAACTTCGTCTGATGAGATGTTACGTACTTTCTGTGCTGTTCTACGCAGTGGAGTCATGGACGTTGAAAAAGATTAATACCAAAAAATTAGAGGCATTTGAACTGTGGATTTATCGCAGAATCCTGAGAATATCATGGACCGAGAGAGTCACAAATGTCGAGGTCTTGAGAAGAATGAATGAAGAAAAGTAAGTCATATTTACGATCAAAAAACGAAAAGTGCAATACTTGGGACACATTACAAAAGGCGAAAGATATGAAGTGCTTCGAATAATTATGTAAGGAAAAATAGCAGGAAAAAGGTCCATAGGAAGAAGACGAAACTCCTGGCTAAAAAATCTACGAGAATGGTGTAGCTGTAGCAACAACGAATTGTTTTGGTCAGCAGTTTCGAAAATACATATAGCCCAGATGATCGCCAACCTTCGCAACGAAGATGGCACTTGAAGAAGAAGGTTTTTTAGGTTTTGTAACTGCCAAACCTGTAGTTTTGTATCTTCTGACTATGTTTATTTCACTGTATAGTGTGACAATTGCAACATATTCGCGATCTCCGAATTGGATTTTCCAGAATTAAAAAATCTTTTCTTCCTGGCTAAAAAATCTACGTACGTGTAAGTTCAAGACAACAACCACAAATCTTTTCAGAGAAAAATTTACAAAAAGAATTTAAACAAGTACCTCTTGGACCTAAAATCACCACCCTAGGTTGTATCGGCCTCAAAAGTTTCCTTATTTTAGATACTTCTATGATTTCTGCAATTATTTCTGTTATATGTCTATGACCAAAATTAATTTCTCTCAAAGAGTTTTTAAATATGTTTCTAAGGCTAACAATTAGCCTTCTTTGTTCTGGCCAGTGGGTAGGTACCTAAAAAAGGAAAATAATAAATAATAATAATATTTCAATTTTTTTCTTTTCCAAACTTCAAAAAGGTTGAAATATTTTACCCTTCAGCGTGGAGTTAGACGTAACAATTTACTGAAAGTTAATGTTAGGTTAAGAAGAAAACTCGCTATAAGGACCAAAAACGATTGTTTAAAATACAAAAGTTCACAATAAGGATTCACCATATAGGGGAGGCCGGGTAATGGCGTCACCTGAGGTAATGAGATCATCATTTTTTGTGACTTAATTTTGAGATGAAAAAAATACGTAACTATGCTAGCGATCTAAGAACTAAGTTTTTGACTTAAATTATATTTCAGAAATTTTTTATTCGCCTTGATTAAGCGAAAATAAACGCAACACTTTTTTGTGTAACGTGACGGCCTAGGGGGTAATGGCGCTACCTACTGAACTGAAATGATGGATAAGACTTCTCTATAAACATGTTCTAAGCAAATATCTTTATTGAAATTTTATTTGGAAACATAAAAAAATAACAGTATAATGAACAATAAATGAAAACATCACCTAAAAACAACCTACTATTCTATTCATAGAAGTGTCAAACATAATTTTTGGCACTGTCTTTTCCACTGCATTGAGAATGAGCCCATTTCGAGCAAAAAGTACAGCGATACCAAAGTTCAGTGTCTCCAAATTCTTCACAAATTTCTCCACATCGGTAAACACAGTGAGTAGGGAAATATCATCATTTGAATCATCACAAAGTTTGTCATCATTAAAAGCTTCTGACGATGTTTCATCAAAATCGAATTTTGGTCTGATAGTATTCTTCATTTTCTTTGTTATTTTATTCTTAGAAGGCTCGTCTTCACCTTCGTCCTTCTGTTTTGTTTCAATTTTTTTGATTTTTTTCCAATATTTTTGTTATTTTCGCAATCTATAAAATTTCCTTTTACTGCTTTCGCCTTTTGCTTCAACTCCATTTTTTCTTTAGCATCTTTCATCGGTGTCGAAGTCAGAATAATAAAATGCTGCTCTCTATCCTGACCTTTTTGTTTAGAATCGGTCCTGTTACATAGTTGGCATTGGTGAAATGTCGGGAGTGGTTTTTGAAAAATCCCGATGTTCCCGGTTGACTACGATTATTAATCTCGATAGCAGTAGCAGTAGCAGCACTTTCAGGAGGATTTTCATTAATAGGTGCCTCATTAGTAGAGGTATCATTGAGTTTTTCAGAATTTTCCTCCTTGTCCTCAACAATTATTTGCTCTACGACTGAATAAGCATGAGCAAAATCTTCTTCACTGAATTTATCTGGTTGAAACGGAAAAATTCCACATGTTTTGAATCCTGCCACTGCCTTTTCAAGGGTAGCGATCCTTAAGTAAGCTTTGCTGAATATCAGAGCAATATCGTATTGAGTGATGTTTTGATGAAAATTTGTTTTCATAAAATTATCACACTCCTTATTGAACGCATTCTTAAGAGGTCCATAGAAAGATACATCTAAGGGCTGAAGTCTGTGCGAGGAATTGGGTGGAAGCGACACAACGTGAATATGGTTTGAACGGCAAAAGTCATAACATGGCAAAGAAATATGGGTTCCATGATTATCCATTAACAGAAGGACAGGGTCCTATTCACTTGACTTAGTGGTTCTCTGGAAATGTCTCAGCCAATCTACATATAAATCTTCGTTGGACCACCCATTGTGTGAACATCTATAAATGGCTCCAGGGGGTTTTCCTCGCTGCAACAAAGGTGACATCCGTTTCCTTGGATAAACGAACATTGGGGGCGTATATATTTCTGAAGCGCTCATGGCACACACTACAGTGATGTTCTTGCCACGCTCCCAACTTGTAACTGCTGTCACTTGCTTATGTCCTCTTGGTGCAAGAATTTTTGTGCTGTGGAAATTCCAGTTTCGTCCATATTATGGATACGGTTCGATGGAAAGTTATATTTAGTCATTACAGTGTCTAAATTTTTGTAAAACAAATCAACTTCGTCTTTATTAAATGCTTTGATATTATTCAAGCTAGTGGCTTCCGGTTTTCTTAAACTAATTTTATGCCTGCAGATAAATTCATTTAACTAATCTATCACGGCCAACTTGATCTCTTTGCTAAAGTTGTGTTTGATTTCATGTTTTTCAGCCAATTCGAAAGCCAGTCGCCTTAGTTTATTTGTAGTGATGCCATAAAATAGTTTTGATAGGCTAATCAAATGCTCTGCTAAGTTTTGTTCTTGCTATACAGAAAAAACGCATTTCCGACCCAATCTCGGCTTACTACCATCGTTTACCTTTAGCCTATCTCTTAATGTTGTTCGGGGTATGCCAAACATTGTAGCTGCTTTTTTTGCAACCATTTTGGCGTACTACTTGAATGGCATTTCTGAGGTTTTCCTCCTTCCACATAGCCTTTTCTATTGTTCTTTTACGTGATCGTACCATCTGAAAATCACAAAAAAATGCGTAGTTAACCTTTCATTTTGATAAGAAAATTCAGTGCAGTACCGTCATGGCGGCATAACCGCGAAGTAAAGTGACGGAATTACCCATCGGGAATAATATGGTGGATATATCACTACATACTACAAACAATAAACAAACATTTAAAAGCAATCTCACCGAAAAGTATCTAAGGTATCATATTATTAAAGGACATATTCAACAAACCAGTTAAGAACCTTATTATCACACTTACCTAGAGTTATAAATATGGCAGAAGAAGTATGAAACTATAACGGTTTTACTGATATTCGCACGAACTAACCTTGAAAGCGGCAATAGCTGTTTTGATCAAAGCACGCTAAATCGGAAGCTGTTAGTCAGATCCGTGCAGGACTAATATTTTGTGAAAAATACTCGGTGAAGAAATTGCCCCGTATGACGGCATTACCCCGTCCTTCCCTACGGATTTAAATGATTCTACTAAAAAGTATCTAAAAATGGTATCAATTAAACTAATATAGTGTGGTGGCTTTTGAATATTATAATATGGAACCGAAATACCAAATAGAGCTTGATGTAACGATCAGTCGGTCGTTTACCTACAATGTTACATAGAAGAAGAGCAATAGAAAAAGAAGAACAAGGATATTCTATATTATGTAGCCTATTTTTTAAATTTGACTTTCATATTAATACATTTTTAATTTTCCTAACCCTGTTTCATAGATGAAAACTTACTTTGCAATATAAAATGTCTTCAACGTTAGGTTGCAACGGTGCTATTAAATGAAAGGTATGCGAAGGAATTATACCAAGCAACAACAGTTGTTTCGCATCATCCACATTTCTGATACAATCTACAATGATCCACCCATGGGAGTAATAATTTTCCTGACGAACCATCAATGACAAACATTTTGCTACAAATAAAATCAAACTAAAATTTAAGTTTAATACGAAAAGTCAAAACATTCACCTAAAACTTCTGAACTAACTATATCAAAATCAGCATTTAGACAGTTTGCTACTGACTGGCGTGTTATAACAAACTGTTTTGTTATTTTGGCTACCTCCGAAGATAATTCCTGGAGATTTACTTTGGGGGAGGGTAAAAACAATATTCTTGGGACGTCTCTGCTCTTGGCGGCATTCAGTAGAATCTGTTTGGTAAAGAGGACATGATCATCCGGTTTTTGAATGACCAATTCCCTAACTATCTCGTGAAACAAGTCGTAGATTCGGTGCTTTTCCAAGTAGGGAATGTGCCAAAGTGGAAATTTAAGCGGAAGTTTTTTCTTTTTGGATGAATCAATAAGGTCGTTCATTTTGATTGACATTTTGAGTGTTTGTATATACTTATCTCTACAAATGAATAGAGTATGAAATAATAATACAAGTATACCTACTTTGATATAAGAGAAATTTATTGACGTTTATTAAAAAATGACTGAAAGCTACAAAGAACGAACTATTGGGAAAATTAATAATAAGATGATCATTACCAGTGACATAAATATTGAAAATTATAATTAAATTATTTTTTAAAATGGCAAGAATATTGAAAAATATTGAAAAATCTTATTTATCTTCATTAATGAGGAAATTGTATTCCTTCACCTTTGCCACTTTTATACAATAGGAACTAACTGTAAAGGAAAAATGTTAATTTTAAATTGGAAGTAGGAATTAAATTTTAACTGTATTTCCTTGTAACTTATATTATTTTTATCATTTTCTGAAGACTAGTGATATCTATCGGTCATATTACAACTAAAACAGTTCGTAGATCTCCCGTTGAGGGCACCACTGGAAAACATTGTATACAGATAAATTAAACCTAGATTTGTAACAAGGATAACCAAATTTAATGCATGTTTCATTTCGCACCCTTCCGTTTGGTGGCACTACTAGTCTTGTTCCTGCGCGTTGTGTGTTATCATTTTATCTCATTAAATTCAAAGTGTTAATTCTTTCTTCCCTTGAAAAGACGCCAAAATGTTAAGAAGCCTAAATTAGAGAATGCTGCAACAGAAACTGTAACAATTTTCATGTATGCACTAGCCATTTGAAACAGAGGAGAATTTAATCAAAGTTGGACATAGCTATGTTCGGGAACAGCCGAAATGTAGATGCTGTATGCTTCAAATATAAAAACATAAAGCTTTAGAAAAGTATATTTTGTTTATATTATGTTATGAATTCTGAAATTTTTGATTTATATAAAACAATAATGAGTAAATATTTGTTTCTTTGCAGTTAATTATTAGAATTTTTTTAGCGATTACTCTTTGATAGATTTATGGGATAGATTTGGCAATCGTCAAATCAGCAGTTGCCAGATTACAACAGATTGCAATTAATCTCGAGAGAGACAAATATCTACTCGTTATTGCTTCATATAAATTAAAGATTGCAGAATTCATAAAATAGTATAATCAAAATGTACTTTTTAAAAGCTTTATCTCTTTATATTTGAAGCGTACAACCAGTGATACATATCTCTGCGTACAACACACAACATTCTAAAAACATGCCAACACTGCGAACACTGCCAAACCGAAATATTTTTGACATTTGCGGCTATGTTCAGCTTGTATTTTCGGTAAACTCAACCCAAGTTCTTGTCACAACATTAAGAACATAACTAGGGAATACTACACTTGGCTTGTATTATTATTTCTTGTAACATATAACATTTCTTGTAACATTTTTATAAATAAAGTTTTATTCTTTAATTTTTAACCTCTTTGGCATTTTAATGTAATGGAAAATAAATATAACCTTAACATAAGAAGAAAACTCAGTCTACGAAAAATATATACATATTATCGTATACAATAAGGGTTTTTTTTTTGTTATTTTAGGATGTTATTTATTTTCCTTTACTTTAAAAATGAGATAATTTTATATGCCTTTTGAATTTACCTCCATGTACACATGTAGTTAAGCACCCTGACACTAAGTAAGGCGCCAATCTTCGTTTGACTCGTTCACATGGGACTGGCACAATGACGTATAATATATAGACTCGGTGAACGCTTTAAAAAGTGTCCAAAACATGAATATCTTTGTTATTGTTTATTGTTTTGATACGAAGATACACGAAGTTTATGATTTCTTACGAAGCATCACGAAGTTGATCTTGTGTTTGAAAACATCATGGACGTATGAAAGCATTTTCTCCATTTTGTGTGACAAGCAAATTTTATTTTAAATTGTTGAGAGTTATTTACTTACTATTTTAGTAAAATGCCATACTATTTTATCAAAATAATTATTTCTCTTGTAGATGGGACAAAAAGAAATCATAAATATTTAATTTTAATTAAAAAAATAATTATTGTCATTAAAATATAAATGAACACGCCGCTGTTCTAATAAACAAACCTTCAACCTTGAGCCGAGATCTTTCGGACACTCGATTCTATAGCGAGAATAGGGGACTGCGTAGTCTATATATTATACGTCATTGGACTGGCACTGTTAGGTGGGAGTGTGCTGTGATTGTATACATGTCACATTTACCTACATTTATGCCAATTTATGTATCAATCAGCTGTTTTATTTTACTGATTATTATTAACCAATAATAATTATTACTAAGGAAATAATGTGACACATAATTAGAATTTATATTAAGAAACAAAAGAATCGTTATTACCGAGCCATTGCTTGTGTCTTCCAGGTACCATTATTACTAGATTACCGTCATTTAAAATCTAACCTATTGGATACTTAATTACTTTATTATCAGTGTATTAAAAATAATTATTGTCTAATATAAAATATAGAAAAATTACGTTTCATTCTACAAGGTGTGTTTTATTAAAAATTTGTTTAATTTTAAATAGTATACGAAATTTGTTTTTAAAGAAAATATTTTATTTGCATTATTTTTAGAGGAATATTTATAAAAAAATAAGTAGATGTTGTGGGTAATTATTCATCAGAAGTTACTAAACTAGATATAATACAGTGTTGTTCTTTATACTCCAAACAAAAAGTACTATCTCTACAATGCAGTCCATAAACCCCCACAGTAATGTTTTCTGAAAATTGGTCCATTTAGCACCAACACAAGTTTTTCATCCAAAACATTCTTCTGTGGTCTGGATTCATTCATTGTTTGATATTTCAAATATTCCAATTTTAGCTTTATTATTATTTTGTGTTTTTTATTTACCTGCACCAACTTATTTTCAGTATCCAATAATAGTACCACATCTTGACTTTTAATGTTTTTTTATATTCTTCTGCTTAGGTTTATATAGGTCACATGTTTTTACCCCAAGATATGGTACTAGATACATGAGATGTTAACATTATTTGTAAAGACTTTACTAGGTAGCACTTCCTATCAAATGTGTTCACAATAAATGTTAAGTAACAGTGTCAATAGTATAGATCCCTGTGTCACTCACTATCTTATATTTATTTTGTCTCGTGTCTTATTTATTCATTGTCTTCTAATTTTAACGTAAATTCAGGATTATTTACAGATCTTTATCACACCCTATTTGTTTATTAAATATCTTATGTAATTTGAACTTTCAGCTACCTCCAGATGCTGCCTGATGATTTAAAATGACAAGCGATGTCATAGGCCGTAATTGGAACTGGAGCAGCCTCTGTGGTCCAGAAGGGTTCCAAATATGGTCACCACAAAGACACGATTTTGGCCAGTGCTTTCAGCAACTATGTTTCCAGATACCTGTACTATCTCTTTTTGCAGTATTATCCTCATATTACTTTGGGCTTCAAGCAGGTAAGACAACAAAAAATAATGCTTGCTCTATTATTATTGCTGAGTTATGGGTGAGTCAAAAGAAAGCTTATAATTATTATATTATGTATTTATCAACGGGCAATTGCCCAATTTCTTGCAATTGCCCAATGTAAACATTATTGATAAATTACAGAAGATAAATTTCTTAATGTAACCTACTTAAATTAAATTTAAAAAGTTTAATCATACAAAAAATAAAAGTAGGAACAGTAAATAACAATCATTAACAAAGAATGTGCAAAACGCAAGGACATCAAGCTATCACACACAGTAACATATGGTCCTAAAGTTTTGGGAACAATTTCACCTGGTCTGATTGAGAAGCAAAATGCATTTAACAAAGAAGGCCATGGAATTGAAATGTCATTAGTTATTGACATTTAATAAACAAATCAGAATATTTTGGTTTGTGCTCTGCAAAATGTCTTATAAAATTGATATTCGTCGAGGTGTTTATAATATGGTTGGGTGAATGTCGAAACGAGATATTGTTAATATTTATCGAGATCAAAACATAAGCAAATCGACAATTTATCGCACAATCAAAGAATGCGAAGAAGGGATACCATGTATTAACTTGCGTAAAAGTGGCTGACGGCAGATTTTGAACCATATAAGAGAGGCAAGACTGATTAAAGCAGCTAAGAACAAAATTGGGTTCTCACAGCTAAAACTGGCTAGAAGATTTCATGTTGGAAAGACTACAGTATACAGGACTTTATTGAGTAACAATATTATCTACCGGAAATGAAGGAAAGCTCTAAAATACACAGATGTTCAATTAGAGAGAATTCTGAGATGTTGCCGCTCATTAAGGCGAGTGCATTTAGTCAACAAGTTGATAGTGATGGACGATGAAAAATATTTTGTTCTTAGCTGCTTCAATCAGTGTTGCCTCTCGTATATGGTTCAAAATCTGCGGTCGGCCACTTTTACGCAAGTTTACACATGGTATTCCTTCTTCACATTCTCTGATTGTGCGATAAATTGTCGATTTGCTTATGTTTTGATCTCGATAAATATTAACAATATCTCGTTTCGACATTCGCCCAACCATATTATAAACACCTAGACAAATATCAATTTTAGAAGACATTTTGCAGAGCACAAACCAAAATATTCTGCTTTGTTTATTAAATGTCAATAACTGATGGCATTTCAATTCCATGGCCTTCTTTGTTAAATGCATTTTGCTTCTCAATCAGACCAGGTGAAATTTTTCCCAAAACTTTAGGACCATACGTTACTTAAATTGAGCTTTAAATTCTTTTGAAATTGGATAACAATCCAACCTTTGGGAATATTGATTAGCAAACCTTGGTGTTCTAGATGTGTAGATTGTGTATATAGTTTGTTCTATGGGGTCTGACATAAAAGGGTTGATTTAGCCTTGTTTGTCTACTGGGAACATGGAGATTAATTTTTTTCAATAGTTGAGAAACAAAAATAATAGAGTGCACTATACTATAAAATATAGTGAGATCTTTGTGCATGCGTTGGATTTGGAGAGAAGTGATGTTGAGGAACCTTTCCATATTTGAATAGTTAATTTCTTTAATCCTCTGG